TCTGGCTCAGGCCTCACCTGCTCTGGTGTCCCTGCCTCCAGCTTCTCCCTCCCCTTCTGGGAAGCCTGCCCTTGGCCAACCAGGCAGAGCTGCAGACTCTCCTCAGATTCTGTTTTATCACACTACACTCGTATCTGTGGGTTTCCTAAGCCAGCCTGTGAGCTCCCAGAAGGCCAGAATGGGATCTTGTTCATCCCTAACCCCGAGCCTTTCATAGGGCAGGGCCCTGGGGAGATGATGGGTGAGGGTTTATTGAATGAATATAGTATCTATCTCCTGTTTGAACAGTTCCTGCAATGGAGAACTCACTCATCCTGGGATGAATTGAACTGCTTTGTTTGTTTGTTTGTTTAAGTTTTAGTTATTAGGGGGGAAAAAATCCTGTCTTGGACTTAGCTGAAGTCCACTCTAGATGACTTCTCTGTAGAAGTTCTGGCTTTGTCTTCTAGAACAAAGGCCAGAGTGGGTGCAGCTCTGAAGGGGACAGATGGACAGTGGGACAGATTGGCTAGGGCCTGTCTCCTCTAGATGTGGTCCCAGGACAGTACTTGGGAACTTGTTAGAAATGCAAATTCTCAGTCACTACCCCAGATCTACTGAGTCAGAAACTCTGGGCGTGGAGCCCAGCCATCTGTGTTTTAAGAAGCCTTCCAGGTAACTCTGAGGCCTGATAAAATTTGAGAAGCGCTGCTCCGACAGGACTCCCAATTGCTGGTCCGTAGGTCATCCCCCCATCTGGGGGACACTAACAATTTCACCTCCAGAGATTTTGATTCAGTAGGTCTGGGTTGGGTCCCCAGGTAGCATTGACATAGAAAATACAAGACACTCAGTGCCATTTGAATTTCAGTATAAACAGGGAATAACTTTTTTAGTATAAGTACATCCCAAATATAAAATTCATGAAATTCAAATTTAATTTAACTGCACATCCTGTATTTTTATTTGCCCAATCTGGCAACCCTGCCTACTTCTTCCCAGCCTCCTGGCAGATCCAGCCAGATTTGGGCTGTATCCTCTACAATCCTTCAAATACTTGAAGATAGGGATTCCGATAGCCTGTATATTCTTATCCTCTCCCCATTCTAGACATCATATCTTTGTTGATGTATCATAAGATAACATGCACTCTTGGCAGCCACATCATGATATTGACCCAGACTGAGTCTGTGACCATCGAAAACCCCTAAATCCTCCCTAAATATGCTGATTCTAAACTATGTCTACCCCATTCCAATAAGAAAGTTAGTTAAGGACCCAGCTTCAGGATGTGGCATTTCTCACTATCCTGTTTCACCTTCTTAGATTCCTTCCATCTTTCCTGTCTGTGGAGTCCTTTTAGATTCTGACTGAATTTATGAGCCTTCCCAGGTGGTGTCCTCAGTGAACTTGATCAGCAGGTTGTCAAAGCTCCATCCAGGCAGTGGTGAACATCTTGGGTCAGTGGTGAGGACAGAGCCCTACAATCCTCTAGTAAAAACCTCCATCTAATGTGACACTGACCTATTAATTAGCGCCCCTGAGCACAGGTCAGTCTATCTACCAGTTACAACAGTACAGAGTAATAGTTCCCACCAGCACAATGCCTCTTTCTCCCTATGAAATCTCACAGGATTCCATAAAAGATAATGTCAGATAAGTGCAGTAACTCCCTGGTTTACTGGTCCTGCAATCCCGACTTGGAAAGAAGTGGACTTAGTGTGCAAGGACCCCTGGCCCCTCCTTAAGGGGTTCAAGGGTCATCCTTTTAATAACCTGCCTCCAACTCCTGGCTGGTGCCCTGGAACTTGCCAGGTGGAGTTGGTAGAACCTGCCGTCCTTCCTAGTGAAAATGCAGACTGCACCTGCCCCTCGCCTCCACGCCCTCTCCTTTCCTTCTCAGTCATTCCTGAAAGATTGCCCTCAGCAGCCTAGCAAGCTCACCCAGGCATTCTCCTGGGAATGGAATTTCTTGGGGTCTGGAGTTCTGAGAATATTCAGAACTGTCCCCATCAGCTTCTCCTCCCTCCTTGCCCTCAAGGACCTTGGGCCACATTCTAGTCTGAGGAGCCTCACCCATGTCAGAGGGAAAGGCTGCAGAGTAGTGTGGCTCTGAATCTGACTCCTCCATGGCTCTCGGCTCTCACTGTGCCTGAGTACTTTCTCCCCATATCCTCAGTATGCCTCCTGCATTGCCAGGTGCTGGGGAGGCTCTGAGGAGCCAGAACGAAGGGATGGTCCCCTCCCCTCAAAGGGCTCATAGTCTAGAACAAGGGTCAGATGCAAACAAGTCGAGCCTCAGTATCTAAAGAGGTAAGGACAAAAGCTGTGAGAGTCAAGGAAGGAATGACTCATCCTTCCTCAGAAGTGGGGAAGGCTTCCCAGAGGCGGTGACATTTGAGCTGAGCCTTGAAGGATGAGTAGAAGCTCCCCAGGTGGGAAAGAGGGGAGTAGGTATTCCTGCACAGGGGAACTGCATGGGCAAAGGCACAAAGGAGAGAGAGTGCTTGTTCAGGGGCAGATGACCAAGGCTGAGGAGCAGGATGTTGATTGCAGGATGAGGTATAGCAATGGAGGAAGCTGCAAGATAGCATAAGGTAAAACATGACAGGGTCTTGAGGGCTGTACTGAGGACCATGCCAGATGTTTCTTCATCCCATCTACCACTGTAATTTTCTGCCATTTGTTCC